TATGTATGCATACGTAACCGCACAGAGTAATTTGGCGGAAATGATTGGAAGCTAGAGATTTACCATTTGAACGTCGCGTTATATTAGAGCGGAACTATAAGTTAAGTGTTCGATATTAATTAAACAGCGGTCGCTTCGTCAAGCATCGTCGATTTAATCGCTCGCGGTAAATCCGGAAGATTCTGAAGGCAGCTTCCGGTCATGCGAGCACGCCGCGTGAATAATTCATCCCAACGGAGAGTTGTCCGAACGAAATCCTCTTTCTTTCGTTTGGACTGGCCGTGTGAACGCCGCCCTGGCGTTCCAATTAGAGCGGAAGCGCTTCGATTCGCTGTCCTCTGCGCTCGTTGCGAAAACTCTTGTTGATCTTTTATGTAGGCAGAAGCGGCAAGGAGGCGGAAGTGGAGGCACTGAGAAACAGACAGATAGACAGACAGACAGAGAGAGAGGGAGGGGAAGAGAGAGAGAGAGAGAGAGAGAGAGAAATGAAAGAAAAGACAGGAATGAGAAATACACGAAGGAAAGACGACAGACGGCCTCTCGGTAACTCGCAGACTCATTAAGCAGCGTTTTACTTTGGCTCTTCCTCTAATACCCGTCTCGCTGGCGATCTTCGTCGATTCTTTTTATTCCTGATCGACTCGCTGAAGAAGCCCGTTGCGCGTAAAATCGTCCGATAGAAATCGACACTTGCCGTTCTTGCTTTCGTTTCGCAACTCCGCCGATCCATTGCGCGTTGTTCTAGTTTCCTCGATGGTGCTTGTCGTATCAAAAGTTCCCGTTAAATAAGTGAGACGAGATGTGTACAAAGAGGAGAACATATCGATCTCTTCCGGAACGATTGGTGCCAGGCCATAGCAATAATTCCTGCAAAACGGTATTTAGTCGCGAGAGACAGAACGGTATTCTTGTTACAAGACATTAACATAATGCTCCCAATAGTTCGGTGTACTTAGAGAGCGTGGCTTAATCAAGCAATCACGTTGATAATTAATCACATCCACAGTCTATTAACAGTAACAATAAGCGGTGTTATATCGCGGCTGTCCGTTTCAAGCGAGCAAGTCTCTATCGTGCGACGTAAAATATCGATTCCGGCGACTAACGATTCCGTAACGCCGACCTCCGCTGCTACATTACACACTGCCGTATGCGAATAATAACAGGTGGTTTGAAGTAAAGTACGCTTTTGATATCGGACATCTACCGACTCTTCGATCTTTCAAGGTGTGCATATAATCTGGAGAGCTTCATTCTTTTATTTCTATAAATAGATTGGATTTAAAAAATTTATCTGCACATCATGCGGCGTGCAGTTATTCCGGTGCATCTTGACTAAAGATTCTTCGACTAAAGAATTGATTGTAAAGAAATTTTGATGAACAAAGTTACGAAAGTTTGGTTGTGAATCACCAATAATCTTTTTTTTTATGTAATTACACATTTAATTGCATTACGCCAATTTCGTTTGATAGAATTTGAAATTGAGAGAACAATACTGTAAAAAAGCCAAAATTTGCTTATAAGAGAGGTTTATGAAATCGGGCTATCTTTATATTTTTAGACTTGCTAAACTCGAATATGAAGCTTAAAATTTTGGGAAATTTTGTGAAAATGCAGAGAAGCCTCGTTTTTCAGCAAATACTTTTTAGTGGACAATTGACTATTGTGAATAAAAGAAGTCGTTTTTATTGATTTCTTTGATTTTTATTGATATTTATTGGTATTTATTGATATTTTTTAATTATATATAATAACATTGATACTTAACTCTAGACATTCTTATTTGTTTTGTGCTTTAAATGTGAATGTCTGAACTTGAAATATAAGAGAGAATGTATATTGAATAAATACATATTCTACGTTAAAAGTTTAGATATTCACATGTAAAAACAATAAGAACGTTCAGAGTTGCGTACTAGTGTTATTAATGTCTAAAATTTGGTAGACTTTTATCTTACGAAGAGAACTCGGATGTCAATAATTAGGCAAAATTGCAATAATATTACAACCGCTGTCCGCCTATGCCAAGCCGTGACAACTTATCGAAGCCATTCCTCCAATAAGCGTCATTCATAGTGTTAAAAAGACCTGCGCCATATAATGGCCTTGCACCTTGTGCGAACTAAGTAAGAACCAGCTCGAAATGACCTAGAAGAAATCGTCGTGAAATATGTTCTGATAGTTTTAATGCGATAATGGACACAAACTTTTTTCCCTTTATAGGAGATACCTCCAATTCTTCCGTCATTGCCAACCTCTCCCGAGAGTTGATCGAAGGCGCGATTTGAAGACCTCGATCGATTTTCTTGTCTTGCAAATTATACCGTCTTGAGTAAATCCTTGTTAACGCCGATTACTCGCTGGAATTGATATTGCTGACGGTTATAGTCGTTGATGAGACAGCTATACGCTGAACATAAGCACACGTCATTCGCGCGAGATATAGTATTAAGTTAGCTCGAAATAAAACCGCGGGTATGCGCATCGTTTTCTTTATGCGCAGTTTCCTGTTGAGAAACGTCCTTTGCGACGTGACGCAAAGAGTCCCGATTATCCTGCATTTTTTATGAACGTTGCTTATCAAAACGCTCGAAGTGTGCGGCGAATTTAAACTTAATGGATTGCGACGTGTGTATGAACACATATACACACATACACACACATATGCACGCCCGCGTGCGAGGGAAAGCGTGAGATCCGAAAGATGCGGCCTCGAATCTTTACACTTTGCGACGCAAGTCGGTTGACGTGCAACATAAAGCACGATACGTAATCACACGGGACGTTGTGTGTAATATGGCTATTACGATCTCAATCTCAAGGGGGAACGTCATAGTCAATGAACCGCGTGTGATACTTTCGTAGCGGTTTCAGGAATTCTTTGGGATGGAGAATTTGTGGCAAAGTGAAATATTTTCTCTAGTTATTCTTCCTACTCTTAGGAAACAGAGTGATATTTTATTTTAGAGCAAAATAAGGTTCATTAGAAATTCTTATAGTTATCGAAATGCCACGAGACGTACATGCTGTTTTTGCGAACGCTCGACGAAAATTCACAGTTGTTCCAAGATACAAAGTACACATACGCGGTTATCGTAAAGAATTTCTAAATCATCTATATGTTTTGCGTTTTCCTCCCGCGAGAAAAACGCGTGATGTGCGTCTCGTGGTATGCATTAAGGTATAATTAAGAGTCATACGCAGTCAACAGCAAAAGGGTTACAACACTTTTCTGACGAGTTTCAAAAGAGATGCAAATCGCGCGGCCGTTCTCACGATTTTTATTTGTTTCAAAGCACATCGATAAAAAGATTAATGTGTTGCATAACCCTTTCGCCATAAACTACATATCACTATCGTTAAGAAAGTTCGTCGGCTTTAAGGATATATTGTCCATATTTCAAAAGTAATAGAAAAAATTACCGATTAATCTATATTGCATTTAAAGTGATTACAAATAACTTGACATTGATCCAAAGTCTGGATAAAGATATGAAAAAATATTCAGCAATTGTAGGATATCGAAGAAAAAAAGATAGCAATATTTATTTGAGCTTGAAATAATTTTGAAAAACTCTGTTAACTCTAATTTTTTAAGTGTAATCATATAGATGATTTTTGAAAATAGATTCTTTTGGTCATTTTGCATAAAAAAGTATTGAAATAAAATCATTAAAAAATGAATATCTTTCAAGATGTTCTACATTTTTTTTTTGATACTTTTTAGCATAAAATATGAAATATCTTCTAAAGTATTTCTTGATAAATTCACTTTTATGCGTAGAATAATGGGTGAAAGTGATTGTTGCAAAAATGTAAACAAAATTCCGTATATTTTGCATATATATTGCATACTGATGCACCAATATGCAAATATAAGCATTACCGATCGATTTTTCTCTTCATTTCATGTGCAAAAGAATATTTAGATGAGATAGTTGTAAAGTGAATAGTTTACGAGATTTTATATTTTATATTGAAAAATAACAGGATAAAATGTGAAATATCTCAGAAAGCATTCACTTCTCGATGATATTATCCCAGTATTTCTGCACGCAGAATGACTAGAAAAATTGATTTCTATTATTTTAAAAAAACTACATCATTCTATTTAAAAAAAAATTAGAGTTCATTTTGACAAGACTTTTTAAGATTATTTCAAGTATATTACAAATATATTACTTTTTATTACTTTTACTTATTTCAAATATATTACTTTTTAAGATTATTTAAAAAATATATTACTCTTTTTTTTCTCCCTCGATATCCTACAACTTTTGTTGGGAATACTTTTTCTTTCTTTATCTTTCTTAATTCTTGAGATATTCAGCTATATTGATTAAAATTGGATACCTCATATATATATATAACAAGTTTTTATATAGTAAATAGAAATATTCACGTGTTTAATTTTCAACGACTTTTTGCAAATACTGTACGGCAATACATCCTTAAATGCCTTCATTACAATTTTTTGTTAAATTACTGATACATTAATATCTACATAGTTAATTTCCTCACATCTAAGTTTTAAGATTTGCGAGACGAAGTTCGAGTTGGCTCCGCGGAGGATTGGCTGTCGTGCTTAATAAGGGGGCTGAACTTTTGAAGATTCGGGTGTGAAAGTTCCTCACATAGTTCGAAAGCGAGATCTTCGGGGATGTCCCTCTGTAGCGAGCCGATCCCCCGCGGGAGCTTCTTTCGTTCACGCGGACACGGGAATTCAATTAAGCCATCCCCGCGAAAGTTCGTCGCGCGCACGTGTAACATCGCCCCCGATCGCGTCCCCGCGGCTCGAGAGTGAAGCTCGGGTCTCCTCTAGAAGTAGAAAAAGCCCGACGCGCGGCGGACCGACCCGCGACGTCTGTTTTACCGCGCGACGTCACGTATAAACATCGCTGTAAAACGGCAACGTCATCGCGTTCCGCGTTTTTTCTTCTACCTTTTCTTTCGACTTTCACCTTCAATATTCACGGGCAATTAATCATAATCCCCAGGTATGCGGCTGCCGTGCCTCATGAAGGCGTACGAAAGGTAATAGCTCGCGTCGCGGGAGGCTCGCGCATTAATATTTATCGCTTCCCGCTTCCGTTTCGCGCGCGTTGTCTCTCGCAAAAGTCATCACGGCTCTCTCGCGCCAACGTCGCGGCGATGACGTCGCGTCGGATTAACCGGCGCATTATGCACGCTATAATGTAACACGAGTTGCTTTTATGAATAATGCATAGCCGAAGGAACAGCGGGAGCCTGTAGTGGAGCACCCACTTCAGATCAGCCAGGCAAGACAAAATTGAATCTTAAGTATACGTTCTAAAAAGCTCCGTCGATCCACTACTCGTCGTCGACCCAGTAACGAGCACACCGCCTCTTTTTTGATCTCCGTAGTCCTCGGCAGACTCTATTACTATTAATTGTTAACCATTATATACGAAAGGTTACGCTCGATCGAGTGCTTTCTCGACTCGGTGCGGCGCGTTTCGATCACAAAACAGCGATCTGATGATCCGCGGATTTACGAGTCGCGATGTGGCATTCACGGAACGACGACCGATTGCTTTCCGCGAGAATACGAATAACCGTACGAGGAGATGCGAACGGAATCGGGATATTCCAAATTGAATTGCTCATTATCCGCGCAGTCTCGCTTCGACATTATTTTCCTAACATATTTATGCGAGCATTCGTTGTCCCGTCGTGTCAACAAATGATTTTGCAGTCACGGCTCGTACACACACACACACACACGCGTATCGAGAGATCAATTAATTTAAGTGCCATCCAATTATAACGATGCTCCGTTGAAATTGTCGTTGGAATGACGGAGAACGCTGTTAAATCCGCTCAGTCGGAAATACTCGCTCGAGCGTACCGAATTTCTTCCCCCCAGCTACGTACCAATTACGTGTTCACCTAATTTATGTGCGACATATGTAAAGCGCGTAATGTACATTTGCGCCGTGGATTCGCTCACTTTGTCACGCCAGACCGTGCATACTCTTGCGCCCCCTGTATATACTGTTATATTGTATATCGAGTATCTTCCTGGTCGTGTAATTGCATGTCCAGTTGCAGAATTATTATTACTTGCCATCAACGTTCAACAGCCGTGTTTACATTCTCGAGCCGTTACTACTACATTTCTGTTCTCCCTCTTCACCATTTTTACCTCAAATATACTCCAGCTGCACGGAGAAAATATGTCACCACAGGGAAATTCCAACAAAATTCTTCTAATCTCAGACCATACAGAATTATGACCGACGTTATATTTGTTTAAAAATATCACGCGCGTTTGAGTTTTTACTAAAAAACTATTGGGTAAAAATCGACAAGGGAGGATCCAGTGACCTTAACTTTGACATATGTTGTCAATGTCATTCTCTTGAATAACCTCCAAAAGTCAGTCAGTTACTTCAGTTGTCGATCATTGTGAAAGTTGCTAACAAAGTAGGTTTCATATATTAGAATATACTTTGCCGACATTGCGTATACGTTACGAACTTCTATGCGTATGCATATGTGACAGTATCCATATAATATTTACACACATATACCTATGTAACAGTACACGTGAATGTTCCTCTCCACCCTCTACCTGTCAAATTAAATTAACCTAATCTTTGTACATGTTAGGTTAGGTATAAACATGTATAGGCTGAGCTTGGTTTGATTAGTTACTTTACTTCAGGATGGGAGTGAGCATGTGGGCGTACTACCATACAGTTATATGTATCTTAATGCATATGGCGCTACTCATGTGTCATGTGTGTATATAGATTTATAATGTATACAGTATCGAAAAAATACGTTCTATTTGCGCAACTTATTTTGTTAATTCCCTGATAAACAATGAGCGACGGTCGAAATCTTTCGAGGGTCACTCAGGAGAACGACCTTGACAGCTTATGTCAGGTCGAGGTCATTGGTGCTTCTTGATTTCCATCAACTTCTTTCATTAACTAAATTTTGACAAACAATGGGCGACGGCTGAAACCTTTTGAAGATTACTCAGGAAAGAGTGGTAATACATGTCAAAGTCGTTAGGTCTTCTTTCGTCGATTTTTACCATTTATACTTCAGTATAAAGTCCAGCTTTTTTCAAGAGACACTGTAGGAAGAAGAAATGCAATTTTGCCCCGTAACTTTTACTACGGTATTCTCTTCGTGCACTCGAGGATATTTTAAGCGCATAACGGGCGTGACGGGCCGATTATACAGGTCGTCGCGCTGTCGCAGCGATAGGATCGTGATAGGATCTGCGTCGCGAACGCGAAGCGCGCGATTTGCCGCCTGATTCCCGCTCATGTACGATGCAATGAGCGTTTTTACGCTTGGTTTTAGGATTCCCGAAACTCACGATTACGCTCGAAAACTCGCGCGTGATCGCTCGCTATCGCGTTTTGATCTCTCGCGCGTGTGCCGCAGTGTCAGGAATCTCGAGTTTCGCCGTACTTTCGTCATCTACACCTTCGCCCACGGCCTCTATTATTTAACGAACGTCGTTCTGTCACGCCTATAGACTCCCTCGACTTGCCACGTGCAAGGATCGACCGCTCTCCCGCCACACACACTCGCACGTTTCGCGTGACGTCCTGTATAATCGGCTGTGCATAACTGTACACGTGCATACATAGCCGTATCATAGCCGTGTCACAGCTCCTTTCCGCGGTCTTCTTCCGTCGCGGTGAGCAAGATTAATTACGTATTACTCGTTATCCTCGTCGAGCGCCGCGTCGATTACAGCCGGCCGGTTGATTAATCGACCTGACAACCGAGCGCTTCCCGCTTCGTTAATAACTTTCGCGGATTCTTCACGTTGCCTGGAGCTACGATTTTCGCCTGACCATCCGTCGGCTTTCGCATTGATTAATTGGCGTCCAACAGGTACGACGACGACGGCCGATCGACTGTCGCGCCGTATATTCCCCCCGCTTGCAGCGTGCTCTCTCGATCGATCGTCGCGGAAAAAGAGCCGGACGCGAATTTTCAACGCGCTCGATCGTCATCGTCGCGGAAACGGCAACGCCGGAATTCGCGAGAACACGAACGGCCTATGTTGTTTTTGTCCTTTTTTTACATGGTCGGCAGCAGTAGAATTTGAATAACACACGCCGCACAACCGTGTTGCATCTCTTTTTACAGTCATTTTTTGAGCCAGCTTTTCATACACAGCGCGATGATTTGGTTCCCGTCGTGTAAACTCTCGTGGTTTGCGCTCACCCGGAATATTCACGTACAGTGATTGAGTTGCAACGGTACACATATGCCACGCACACTCCATTCGAACACAAAAGAAAGGAACGTATATTTTTTCATGTGAAACGCGAAGTGCTTTGAGAATGGTTGCAACTTGGGCTGTGCGAATTGGTATCCGGTTTCTGGAATCGGTATAAGTAATCGGAATAACCGACCTTGAAATTGATGCGTGAATCTGTTGAAAAATTTATTTGGATCGCGTGAAATAATACTTGATTCATTTGTGTAGTTATACCTTATATTATATGACTATCATATATATAACTATAACATAAGAAAATATATACATACGTGGTCTTACACCAACTTAAATATCATAATGGTTAAATATCATAGGTAGTAGGAGTGAAACTGAGACGAAAACTCCTTTGCTATTTTTGAACACAAAGAATAGTTAATGAGTTATTAATTAAAGAAGATTAGCGAATGATCGCGCGTGATACTGCGAGTGGCGTGCTGTAGAGGCGGGGCCTGGCCCGCGCTAATCAGCGCTCCACGCGCGCCACTCCCAACCTATCACCGCTCGACGCTCGCCTAGCGCAACGTTACTCGAACACACAGTAGTATCTCACGCGATCATTCGTTAATCTTCTTTAATTAATAACTACCAATTTCACATGGTTTGTTCGCAAAATGGTAGAGGAATTTCTTGTTCAGTTTTATCTGATCTACACGTACACGAAGTGAACGCATGTTATCGTCAGGCTCTCTGTATAATTGTAACAAATGAGTACCTTTGGCGTGACCCAAATGGCTATTTGGACCGATTCATCGATTTCACAGTCGATTATTTCGGATGTAACGATTACTTGTACAGTAGGTCAGTTTAGACACAATGAACTTCAGAGTGTAGCTAATGGTCCAATAAGAGAACGAATTATTGAAAAATCAGTACTCTCATCGAACCATCGAACCAACGCTCCGAAGTTTATTGTGTTTAAACCGCTTTGCGACCCACTGGACCGATTTCAAAACCGAGTGCCATTTCGCGCAGTTCCTAGCTGTAACGCACCGTGATCGTGCCTCTCGAAAGCGATCGACTTGTTGAGACTGACTCGAATATTTCGTTTGGACGGAGCGCACGGCACAGTTCACGTGTACATATGTTTCTAACATAATGTGTTTGTATATTCTGTGTATCATGAACATGTCGACATGTTGTGAAACGTCCCTGTAGAAAGTGTCCCCTCCTGTGCAAGGTAAGAATCAATAATGTACAGATCGTCTCTCTTTAATCCCCGACTTCGTTCTGTCTGATAATGAACGTCTTATATTCTCGTCAGTGGCAGCGCACACAGGGTATACTTATATTGTATTGCTCATAACAACACGCACACACTTATCACCAGAGCACCTTGTATAAATGTATATATTGATCTATGTGTACGTTGATTATTATTGATCGATCTCTCTCTCTCTCTCTCTCTCTCTCTCTCTCTCTCTCTCTCTCAGATTTTCACAGACAATGCTCGAATATGAGAGAGCAGTTGTGCGTCCGGAGCAACACGATGTCGCGAGCGCGATGACTCTTCTCACGGCTGTGGGACAGCCGTTGCTGCGGCGAGCAATTCGGCGGGGAATGATTGCGCCGAGAATTGCGTCGTCCGCGGAGCGCTCATTAGCTTTCCGCTTTCCCCATCGGCGGAAAACGCGCGATTCGCTCGAACGCGATTGTTTGACTAGTTGGAGGGACGAAGGAGAGGGGAGGGGACGACGAGGGGAAGCTCGCGATGTGTGACGGCATCGACGTTTGCGAGTTAATTCGTCTTCGTCGATGTGATGCGCGCGACATGTGCGTCACCTCGTCAATTTGCAGGCTTTCCCGAGGTTATTGGATCAGTTGAAACGCCATGGAGCTCATCGACACGACCGGCGGTATGATATTCCTCGAAAATCACCGAAATCGAATTTTATTTGACGCGCGCGTGTCGAACGGAGTAGATCGGCGGGGTCGCGCGTGGGAATTAAGGGATTATATTGCCTTCTTCCGCGAAAGAATTTGTAGTCGCATGTGCGATAACGTGCGTCGAAGTCGTGTATAACATGCTGCAATAACGGTGACTCACGTTAATGGTAAAATAGTGGTCGCGTATCGGAAAACGAAAGGGTTGAAACTGACGAAAGAGAATGCATTCTACGAATACATTCTGCATTCTCACTCCTGCATCCTTGGTTAGAGGAACCGCACGAGAAATCTTGCTCCTGTGGGATACGTGAGCTTCCGACGATACATCTGCAATCGTTCGCTGCCAATTAGGGGGTGATAATATCAATGCGTAATGGGAAGAAAGGTTTTGGTAATAACATTTCCGAACTTTCGGAAAATATTTCGGCTAAAAATTCAAAAACGATTGTGTATGTTAACACACAGGAAGCCGAGGAGCAATCGCAAATAAACACCGTCGCGCAATGACATTCGGATAAAAATTTACACCCTGTCTCTGTGTAAATAATTGGATAACAGTTAAATTTTTAATGTGTTTCGCGTAAAGCCGATAGCGACATATCTTGCAAATCACAGTTCAACGTATTACTTCCAGTACTCCCTTCGTGGCTGAATAGGAAAGAAAGAAAAGAGAAGAGAATTCCGTGTGTGAAAGGCTCGCGGTGCAGCGAGTAGCGATTAGGGAACGTAGTTTCGTAGAAAGGAACGATGATAGATCTCTCTATTGAAGCTTTACTTGCAACAGCCACACTTACTTACCATCACACAGCATATGCACATACACACACGGACATACAGACATACACAAACACACGTGCACACGTCCATAGACCGATAGATCGCGGTAGTAGAAGAAACTCTTTAGGGGGAGGCCAGTAGAAAAGCATTAGCGTAGGCGTGCCTAGCGTGCAACAATGTAGTGTGTGCTTGTGGTTGTGGATTTCAGCAGGCGTACAGTCAGTACATCCCGGCTACAAGAGCCCAAGTGTCCGGGGCCCAGGGTGGGCAGACGGGGGTCGCCATGGACGGCACTTACCTCGTCGAGGCCTCCTTCTGAACAGGCCCCTCGCGCACTGCACATTGACTCTAAAAACGAACCGGACCGAGATTGCCAAGAGAGAGAAAGGCACAAAAGAAACAGAGTGAAACCGACTGAAACTGAATCGCGTTGTGTCGCGCGAGAAATCATTAGAATCATTAGAAATCGCGGACGCGCCGGCGGAGGGAAGGATGAATAAGTAAATAGACAAACACGAACGGACACACGCGCTAGAGAGATCCGAAGCTTTGCGAACACACGAGGGCCAAGACACGCTCGTCTGTCGACGTAAAGCGGATGTAATCTAGAGTAACCGAAGTGAAGGTAAAACACATATGTGTGCTTATATATAAGTACGTGTGCACGTGTCCTTCGGAGAGAACGGGAGAGAGAGAGAGAGAGAGAGAAAGAGAGAGAGAAAAAACAGTGGCCAATATGTGCGAGTAAGAGAGAGAGAGAGAGTGAGAGAGTGAGAGTACGAGAGTAAAGAGTATATATATTTATATATATAGTGAAAAAAAATATATATATATATAATTTGTACATATGTATCGACTGGCCGACCGTTTGCGCCCTAAGAAAACCACCAAAAAAAAAAAAAAACCCACAAACAACACAAGCAAAGACACACACAGTTGCGCGAAATCCACAAAGTCAATCAATCAAATTCTTCTATTTCATCATTTCCGTGCTACCTCCGACCCCCGACGACGACGTCAACGACGACCATGACGCTGCCGATTGGACCCATCATCGCCACTACCATCACCACCACCACCACCGCCGCCGACGACGACCCGACGATACTTCGGCGCCGCCACCATCGCCGTCGCCGTCGCCGTGTCGCCGTCATCGTCATCCCTACCTCCCTTCTTCGTCATCGCCTTCGTCGGAATGCGATGGACAACAACGGCGACGATGTTGACAACTCGAACGACGAGTGCGAAAACAAAACGAAAAAAAAAAAAACAAAAACAAAAAAAACATCAACCAATACGAAAACCACACGTATGCACTTGCGGCGACGAATAACACAACCGTCGCTTTAACACCGGCCCTGATCGATTGATCGATCGCGAACGCTCGATCTCGCAAATCACGTAGAGCCTGTCCTATCAACTAACTTCGAACGAGAGCAAGGACAGAGTGGTGCTCATATACGGCGACCGTATACAGGTGCGGAAAAAGGTAAAGAAACTGTGTTGTGCTCGACAGACTGAAATTGTGAAAACGATGGTGATGATGATAATGATGATGATGATTATGATGATGATGATGATGATACCGCTGATAATGCTGATGCTGATGCTGCTGCTGCTGATGATGATTATGATGATGATTATGATGATGATTATGATGATGATGATGGTGATAATGATGCTGATGATGATGATTATGATGAGACTATATATATTATATATATACGTATACGTACATGTGTGATAGATTTGTGTGTGATGAGGCTACATGAATTGCTCGGCCGCCGCGCTTCAGCGTCCTCAGCCATAAAGCAAGAAGCACAGCAGAATCTCCCCTCAGCAAAACTCCCCGCAATCTCCCTTCCGGTGCTCGATCATACCTTTAATAGCGATGAAATCCTAGATTGGCTTGTTCGGTGTCCGCTTTCGCCCTCGAAAGAGATCCTCCTCTTCTGCCATGCTTATTATTAGGGATACTCTTGCATCTACCGGAGGCTCGTCTCGATAGGACTGTGCATTTAAGCATTCATACTCTGTCTAGTGTTAAGTTTGCTTCCTCTTCTGGTTATGGATGTATGGCTGTGCCTTGCTTCCGGGGAGGGATGGATTGAAGATGCTTTCGGGCGACATGCGAGTGCTTTTAAGGGTTGATGGTTCCTCGCGTGAACATCATGCCGAATCTTTTATCGCGCGTAACTGCGGGTGGGTTAAGTTTAGAAACAAATAAAACGTCGAGGAAATACGTGTGTTGGATTTATGAATGTTCGTAACACACGAGACCCGCGAAAATCTTAATCATTGAATTCACGTTTGAGGACATTTTCCGCTCTGATCTCGATTGAAACATGGTATGTTTGACGATGTATCGTTAATTGAAATTTAATGAAATTACGAATTAATTATATCACCGGTAGTAGAATTTCTCGGTCGTTCTACGAGAAACGCGGTGTGCTTAATTAATTTTCGATTTGCCGCACGTTAGTGATATTCTCCTGCCCCATCGTCTTTCATTAAAGCTCTTCATTATACTCGCGAGGCTGAAAAACTTTTTTACAGGATAAAGGTTTATCGGGAAAGTTCAATCAACGGCTTATTCGCGCAAACTATTTACTGCCTTGCTCAAAATATTTAAATTTACTATTAATTTACTATTTAGAATTCTTTTAATTAATTAATGTTGAGAACATATATATATATATATATATATATATATATATATATATACATATACACATACAGGATATCCTATTTTAATCGCATACTTTATGTATCTCAAAAAGACATTGTAGTAAACAATATGTCAAACAAAAGTTGTATGGTTTCAAAGGAAATAATGTTATTCATACCTGACCGATAAATTGACTTGTGTTAGAAGAACCATGTGATTCCATTTAAAAAATTAAATAACAACAACTTTAACAAGTTTTTCCAAGGTCACTACAACGTCGAGTAAATATTACCATCTTTACTTCTTGAAGACATTGTAAGCGAAAATGTTCCACAAGTGTGGAATAAACACGAACCGAAAGTTTGAAACAGTGAGCTTATATATCGTGGAGAAAGCCATCAGCTACGGTTTACTCGACTTAGTTGCACGTATTGTATTTCTTCTATGTGGAAGTGTAGAAAGTAGCGTTAGTTAAAGTTAAATCAAACAAATCCATTGAGAAGACACCAAAGAAGAAGAACACGTATAGATTTGGTTGTCTCACTTTATATTGGTATTAATCTAGCTAAAATCATACACTCATATTCTGAGCTCTTTTGTATCGATGAAAGTACTTCTAAAAGTGGCTTGTCAGCTAATCAGAAGGCTTATAAGCCATTTTTATAGATACTTTTATCGATAAAAGAGTTTACTCTCCTAAAATCAGTCAAACATCACTGAAAACAGTAAATGTACTGATTTGCAGTTATAAGTATAGCACTGAAACTGTTCAGTGTTATACTTATACCTGATATCACTGACTATCCATTGATTCACTTTAAGAGAGTAGAATATAGAGCAAAACATACAAATGTGGATACTTAGATCAACGTTCTTAGTTATAATACAACAGTTCAATATAATTAACTAATCAGCGGATCTTAAACAAAGACAGTATGTTGACTAAATCTGTCCTTTAGATTTGTTTTTATGCCCTCCGATCTTCGATGGCTCACTCCAGTATATGTGGAACTCACTTTGAAAGTCGCGTTATGCACAAGGGCATTTATGTGTGAGAGATACGCATAGCAACATGGGTCAACATTAAGGTCATAGGATTAGCCAATATCGCGATCGAAGCTAGATGTCGCGAGCCCCGTGAAGAGAGAAGTCGCGGAGGAAGCGAACAAAAGGGGAAGTTGGGAGAAAACCACGGAGAGTTTTAGACGAGTTTTGGTCTCTGAGAATTATCACGTTCGATTACGACTTGTGCATACGACGACTTATCGGTCCAGGAACGAATATTATTTTTGTCCTTTCGTTTTCGCCTCTTCCGTACTTTAAAACTTAATCTACAATGTGTTCTTTGCTTTCTGTTTCTTTCTTTTTATTTCTTTCTGAGCCAAACTTTAAGCCAGAAAAGGCAGAGGACAAGAAACAAGAAGCAAAGAGCACATTATGGGCTAAATTTTAGAAGAACTTGGACTACATCATACTTTTATTTGACACACTTTTTTTATAATGTCTAATTTTTTAAATACTTGAGGTATGGAATTAAAATGGGGTATATATGTTAGGTTATGGCAAAGTTTCACTTTCCCACTAAATCGCACTTCTAGGACGCCCTGTATATGTATAGTATACAAAAGTAAGTAGTACAACTCCGGTAAATCCGCAAAAATCCAGTAAACATGACAGACATGTTGAAATATATGCACATTTTTCTCCACAAATATTATCGCAAACTGGAATTTTTATCTCGCGCACGTGAACGCTGTAGTTATTAATTTAAACAAGCGAAATATTGGAGAGACGTATCGCGCCGTTAGCTTTTGATGGGACGGATATTTCCGCCGAAAATATCCGCCGCGAAATTCGCGGCGTTTCACTGTCCGTCCCACACCCCATGCCGTGAAGCCCGTCAAATTACGGTAATCCGATCTCGCCGGTGAATGCGAAAATTGACGACCGAGATCAGCGTTATGATACGCCGGCTTTATGCTCTTCTTTTTTACAGCACGACGCTTTATCCCCGTGCAATCCCCGCGTCATCGTCGCGATTACCGCAACCTGCAGCACCCGTCCATCCTCGACACGCATCTCCTTTTGTTTAAACCCCGGGTGCATGAAACACACGCGAAAGGGTCGCGGGAGGAAAAATTGCGTCGTTCCTTTTGAAATTGTCCGCGAAATACTTCCCACCGCAATTTTTAACCGGTCCTGCCGTCCCTTTTGTAACATTTGTCCGCTCGAGGCTTCTCCGTAGATTCTCCCGTCCACGCCTTTTTCCTTACAAAAATTTAGGTAGGGCCCAAAGCAACTTCATCTTTTTGTTATTTACCTTGGCTAAATCTAGGTAACGACCCAGAGCAACTTTACCTTTTTGTTGGCGCGCATTGTGGGCGTCGTGGAAATTGCGCGAGATATCTTTCAGAGCCATCTCTCAAGCGTCCTTTCAACGTTCAATTTTTTGGTAGCTCGTAACTTTCCGCGGAAATACGTCGGTTCTCCGAAAATAGGGCGCAGCCTTCATCACTCTGTCGTTTTGGAAGTAAAAAGGTAAACGTCTTTCGCAGATTAACTCGCCATTATCTTTTAACGATACAATCTTCAACGAGCTCGAGATTGCTCTTGTCGAATTAAAAGTTCAAAATGAGATCCTGCATCGAGATATCGTTTGCTTCATTAACATCTTACTTTCGTACAAATTTAATCTTCCGCGCTTCTGTTAGTTCCAACGCTAAAAAGATTTCTTGCAATATTTTCCTACCTTAATCTAGCATATTGGAGTCGTTTTCGTCGCTTATTTACACTCCACGAAAAAGTGCTAATAAAAAGATATGAGATAATAAATATATTTTCATACACAAGTCTATTGAGATAATAGAATTGTATACAGAAATAAAAATATTTACTAAAAATATTCTATTTTGTTAGAAATATAAAGAAAAACGCGATGAGCTTACATAAAAGTTTATAACTTTTTTGAAAATTAAGAAATTAACATATTCCAGAATTTTATTTTGTCAATATTTGGACTTCTAAGAACAAAATATTACAAATTTCAATTTATTCAGTATATTTTTTTTTCTTTCCGACAAGAAGCGAAAATAAAATTATTAATAGTTTCAAGTTTTTGTGGTATTAATCTATATCATAAAATGCAAATTTTAATAGTTACAAAGAATTGTTATCCAGCATCTATTTCTTTTGTTCATGATTAAAGATTTACGGAACATTGATCATATAATAAAATCAGAAATAAATAAACTGCTTACATAAGATTTTTTATATATCATATTTAATATAAGAATCGTAATATCATGAAAAATTATTTTTATTTTACATTTTTATTACACACTTTGATATCTTAATCTAACATATTATAATAAAAATTACCCCAAAGCAACTGTACCTTTTTCTTATATGACAAGCTAATTGTATTAATTAAATTAGTTATATTGTAATGGCTAAACAGTGCTTAGATTCCATATTCCCACCAGCTATAACCTTTTTTCGCGCTGGAACTGAAAGTCCCTTATTTCATCAGCTTGTGGGTAATTCCAAATTAACGATCGAGTGAGGTCGAAAATGAACTCCATTGTGCGAGATTAGGGTTAATTGCGAGAACACATGCGGATAAAGCAGAGGCAGCGCGAAGAATCTCGAGTGTCCCATTTGCTCGATGTTGCATGCGTCACTTTACACGTGTTATCTGTTTTGAAATTTCAAATTGCGGAATAATATTGGTTCCACTATCGAGACATCGATATTTCTGTCAACACGTGCCGTGGATAAATACGTATATTACCAGCTGCGCCCACGTTCTCTCACGAATCGCTCGTATTTTTCGTTCTTTTTTCTCTTTTTACTTAAATAAAAGCGCGACGGTCGCGAAAAATT